TAACTTAGCAGACCCAACTAAGCCTCATCTCCAACTGCATCGTCAACTCCCATCTCTCACAGTCAACATGCCTTTTAAAAGTGGAGCCTAGCACAACTGAAAGAAACTAGGTTGAGGAGACCAATTTCACTTTGCAGGAACATGAAGGTCTACAGATTGTATCAAGCACTGCAGAATTGTGGACACATTTGGCTGAAATCCTGACCCTCATTCCATAAAACAGAGACTTATAGCTTTAAAGCAGTGTTTCTCAACCTTGGAAGCTTGAAGATGGGTGGACTTCAACTCCTAGAAGCCCCCAGCCAGCGCTGGGGGGTGGGGGTGGGGAGGGAAAGAGGGTGGGGGGAATATTGGGGGGGGGATTTTTCTTTGTAAAACTTTTCAACAACAACAAAAAAAAGAAAGCCAAAATGCAGGACAGAGATGTCCAGGTGAAGGAAAGGTGAGTTCAAAAAGTGAAGACAGCAGCTGCAACTGTGGGATTGAAGCATTTATAAATGGACAGGGTACCACGTGCCTTCACGGAGAAGAGCTGGATGAGAAATTCTGGGAGTTGAAATCCACATATCTTTAAAACTGCCAAGATTGAGAAAACACTGGTTTAAAGTGTTTGAAACAAACCAACCAACAAACAAATTGGTATTAATTGTAACTTTCTTTTTGTTTTTAATGTTTGTTGTTCTGTTTTGTTTTCCTTTCCTGTTGTTTTGCTTTTGTCACTGCCCAGAGTCACATAGCTGCAGCTGGACAGTCATACGAAGGCATAAAGCCATTTTTGAAAAATATAGTTAAATTCTATGCACGAAAATGAATTTAACAACATCCCCCTGCTCCCGGTTTTCGTTCAATTGAAAGTCTAATGTTTTGGGTTTTGTTCACAGCAAAACAAAGAATCCAGAGCTGGCTCCTGGTGTACCCTATTATAAAGGGCTCTAACCAATCAATCAGCCTGGGCTGCAGTTGATTAATGTGGCAATTTAAACTACCGAGGCTTCCCAAACTGGGCAGCTGCCATTTCTCACAAAACAAGATTTTGGTCTTTTTTTTTTTAAAGCAAGAATTTAATTTTTATTTAATTTTATATTTAATGTCCACTCTTATTTTATGCAACGCTACTTACAAACTCTCTCTCACACCCACAGATGTTACTATCTACGCAACAACGATGGTATTAACGTTTGTGTAAAAGTAACAGAAAATATGCCCATTATAAGTGACAGCATACTATAAACCTCACATGGAGACTTAAACATCAGCGTCACTTTTTTTAAAAAAGATGCTGAATGGGACAAGAATATTTCTTCCTTCCACTTTTTTCCAAACAGAAAAGCACAGCCTGTGAGTCCCTCGTTAGGAATAGCCACAAAATCCTGAAAGCTGATAGCAGCTGATAAAATATCAGCTGATAGCTGATAAAATACCTTTTAGAATAGAATAGAATTCTTTATTGGCCAAGTGTGATTGGACACACAAGGAATTTGTCTTGGTGCAGAGGCTCCCAGTGTACATAAAAGAAAAAATACGTGTTCGTCAACAATCATAAGGTACAACACTTAATATCACTTTTTAAAGTGAGAAAAGGGGGAGATTACTAAATTCTGCGCAGTGCCTCGGATAGGGATCCCAAAAGATGCTTTAGAAGTGTGAAAGCAACACTCTGCAACTTTTTAAATCAGCTGCATCTTTCTCCAGTATTGCAGCTGCCTCACCCTCACCAGAAAAACAGCAGCTGGCAACTATATTCATGTGCCAAAGGACTTTCCTGGAATCAAATCTCAGGGGCTCCACAACGCCACTCAATACAACAATGAAAAGTAACAATAATACCTACGTACCACTGCCTTGAACTGCGTGTAAATGAACTCTAGTTTTGATTTTCCTTTGGCGTCACCCATAATAACTTATTGAGATGCACTGCTGACTCACATCACTCAAATGCCAAATGTGAGGATAGGATAGGATAGGATAGGATAGGATAGGATAGGATAGGATAGGATAGGATAGGGGAAGAGGGGAAGAGGGGAAGGGAAGGGAAGGGAAGGGAAGGGAAAGGAGGGGGAGAGGAGAGGAGAGGAGAGGAGAGGGGAAGAGTGGAAGAGGGGAAGAGTAGAAGAGGGGAAGAGGGGAAGAGAAGAGAAGAGAAGGGAAGGGAAGGGAAGAGAGGAGAAGGGAAGGGAAGAGAGGAGAAGAGGAGAGAAGAGAGGAGAAGAGGAGAGAAGAGAAAAGAAGAGAAAAGAAGAGAAAAGAAGAGAAAAGAAGAGAAAACAGAAAGGAAGGAAGGGAAGATAAAATACACAGAAGGGAAAAAAGAAAAAAAGAGGAGGAGAGGAGAGGATACCTTGGATGATAGGATACCTTGGAAATTTCTAGTCCAACCTCCAGCTCAAGCAAGACACTTTACACTATTCTGGACAAATGGCTCTCCAAACTCTTCTTAAAAACCTCCAGCGATGGGGCATCCAGAACTTCTGAAGGCAACCCATTCCACTATTATTCTAATTGTCAGGAAAACTGAATGCCATTGCATTCCATGAACCTCTGTGCATTTTTATACATTATGCCCTATACAGGAATTTACAAATACAAAAATATTTGGGGGGACCTAGAGAGGAAGAGGAGAGGGTGTTGTTTGCCTTCAGAGAATTCAGCACAGATGAAGCAATATTCCATTATATCCCTACTGGTTGAGTTTCCTGGAAATAGCAGAAATGACAGAGTAAATCTGGCATTAGGCTTTCTTGGAGTTTCTTGGAAGCTTCCAAGTTGGCATGACCACAGGGGGGGTGGGGAGGTCACATTCTTTCACCCCAGCCCACTCACTGGTGAGACATTCCTGGTGAGTAGCAACGGGGACCTTTTATTGCTGGGTCTTTTAGGAACCCCAGGCAGCTTTAGAAAAGCAATGGCCCAACTCAACTTGGGGTAGTGGTTAAAAGGTTGGATGAAGAAAGACATGGTCAAGCCCAATGGTTTCAACTCACCCTATTTTACACGGTGTGGGGAGAAAATGAAGGGAGATTCAGTCCCATTTAAGCTGTTTTGAACTTCTGGAAAAAGGCAGGACATCAGTCTAATGCAGAGGTCCCCAAACTTGGCAGCTTCAGTTGTGGAATTCTGGGAGTTGAAGTCCGCAAGTCTTAAAGCTGCCAAGTTTGAAGACCTCCGGTCTAACGCCACAAGAAATGTTGAGATGCACAAACTTCTGATGCTCTTGTTTCTTCCTCCTTCTTTCCAGACCCTTTTTTTTCCTCTCCTCCCACCCTTCTCCTCCCTTCCCGTTCTGCCTGATTTTCTGGAAAACTATTCGGTGGGCTTTGCTCCCAGACGAATTATCTCCACATTACAAGAAAACAAATAACATTCACCCCAGTCTTAGAAAAATCATAAATTTGATCTGACAGCCGAAAGGAAGCAATCAGATGCCACCCCCAAAGTTTGGGATGGCAGTGTCCATCATCCTTTGCCAAGTTAGCTGCGGCCGCGGGAAGTGTAGCCTAATGTTTTTGGGTGGCCCCTGGGCAGTGAAATCCTAAATTAATTTTTAACTGATGGATCAAGGGACTCATCATAACTGGATCCACACACTGCCTGAAGTTACCTTTGATTTAACTGTGGCTCTTAAATAAGCCTTTGTGTGAGATTAAGACACAAACCATGACTTACAACCCGAATGGCTAGTTTTACACAACATACTATATTCAAGCCAAGTTTAATTACACTTCATACGATGCATGAATTCAGCCTTTGATTTTCAGACGGACTCCGCTTCAAAGAGATGGCAAAATGGAGTTTTGGCTCCCTGCACATCCACTTGGCCAGGTGTCAGCAACCTGCAGTTCTGGAGCTGCGTGTGGCTCTTTTGCCCCTCTGCTGTGGCTCCCTGTCACTCAAAATATGCATCACAACTGCCAATGTGCGACATCCGCCTGCAAGCGATTTATTGAGCTTTTTAACCCCCAATATGCCAACCATGGATAAATCCAAGGAAAGAAAAGTTTCAGAAGAAAACAGAACGTTTAATTCAACTACATACACTAGTTTTGTGGCCACTCAAGAAATAGTCCCGCACAGGAAGGGTTTTTGTGGCTCCCGGTGTTTTCTTTTCTGTGGGAAATGGGTCCAAATGGCTCTTTGAGTGTTTAAGGTTGCAGACCCTTGAACTTGGCTAAAGCAGGAGAGGCCAAGATGACGTTCCTGAAAGTATCAGCAGCTTCCGAGAACTGATATCAACTTCCTATCCGATAAGGATGCTGGCACAAGGTGCAAGGTGAGAATAGAATAACAGAGTTGGAAGGGACCTTGGAGGTCTTCTAGTCCAACCCCCTGCCCAGGCAGGAAACCCTACACCACTTCAGACAAATGTTTATCCAACATCTTCTTAAAAATTTCCAGTGTTGGAGCATTCACAACTTCTGGAGGCAAGTTGTTCCACTGATTAATTGTTCTAACTGTCAGGAAATTCCTCCTTAGTTCTAAGTTGCTTCTCTCCTTGGTTAGTTTCCACCCATTGCTTCTTGTTTTACGGTGCTTTGGAGAATAGCTTGGCTCCCTCTTCTTTGTGGCAGCCCCTGAGATATTGGAATACTGCTATCATGTCTCCCCTAGTCCTTCTTTTCATTAAACTAGACATACCCAGTTCCTGCAACCGTTCTTCATATGTTTTAGCCTCCTAATCATCTTTGTTGCTCTTCTCTGCACTCTTTCTAGAGCCTCCACATCTTTTTTACATCGTGGCGACCAAAACTGATGCACAAGATGTATCAATTCGGTCTTGACTGTTCTCACGTTCAACAGCTTTGCACATCTCCCTTTCTCCAAAATCAGTAACTTTGTTCAGAATGCAGAAAGGGAAGAAATACAAATACAGGGCTCAGAACTTCAGAAGCCCCACTGGGTTTCTCTTGTACAAACACTTCAGACTTTCAGATTCCAGACTGAAGCTGGTTCCGCCCCCCGCCCACCACCACCAAATGGATTCCAAACCATGGACACTCCCTTACCTTTTTTGATCACCGACTGGTCCAAAAGGTTCATACTGGCCTCATCCACCGCCTGCAAGAACAACGGGCATAGATAATTGCTCAGCTCCACTGCACAGAGTTCTGGTGAGGATTATGAGCTTAATGTATCTGAAGGGCTTTTCGCCCTCCAGACATTTCAGAAGAGGGGAAAGTACTTTTTGATCTCCTTCACTTGGTGTGTGTACTTTCCCCTCTTCTATTTCTCAAGCAACTACCAAATAATTTGGCACTGCGCAATGGATATTTTGAGGAGGGAGAGAGAAAGAGAGAGTCACAGAAGTCAGTGCCTGAATTGATCCACTCTCTGATTTCAGCTGAAACATCACCTAAACCAAATGGCTGGAGAAAGAAAGAAAGAAAGAAAGAAAGAAAGAAAGAAAGAAAGAAAGAGAGAGAGAGAGAGAGAGAGAAAGTAGAAAGAAAGATTGGTTGACTCAGCCTTCCATCCTTTCTAAGATAGGTTAAATGAGGACCCAGTTTGTGGGGGCAATAAGCTGACTTTGTATAAATATACAAAAAGATGAAGGCTATTGCTTAACGCATTGTAAGCCACCCTGAGTCTCCGGAGAAGGGCGGCATATAAATCAAATTTAAAAAAGAAAGAAAGAAGAAAGAAAGAAAGAAAGAAAGAAAGAAAGAAAGAAAGAAAGAAAGAAAAAGATTTTTTTAATTTTTAAAAATTCTTCTCTATTTTTTAAACTGACTTGTTACAAAAACCCGATCTATATTTTCTAGAAAGGAGCAAAAGACAACCTGACCTCTTCTAATTATTACTACAAACAACAAACAAACAGCTAAGGCTTCTGAGGGGAAATAAAGCCCTTGAGAGATTTCAGAATTGCTCCTTAAAAGGTACCAGCCATAATTCAACCAAAGGCATTTTTAAGCTTCCTTCATTCCCCAAAGGAAAAGGTTCCTCCATCTGTTTAACCGTCGCATCGAAGCCACTGGGAACCGATCTTGCAATTTCACCAGTCCTACCGACTGAAAGAGGATTTAGTCCTGGACAAAAAGTTCACAGACTTTGTGAAAATAGGATTGTAATTTTTAAGGCAAGTTAGTGGGGGGCGGGGAGAGATCCCAATATCCCAATTTTAAGAAGAATGGGCGAAAAAATTATGTATGATTATTTTGGGGGGGGAATGAATTCCCTAACGAGTTTTTGTTTTGTTTTTAAATCCAGCTCCTTTCCTTGAATTAGAGTAGGATTTTTATTACGGATGCAGATTACGGTAGAATTTATTATTATTAGATTACATAGATGAAGCTCGTCGAAAGTCCCATGTTTAGTTGGTTGCAGAAAACAAATCGCAAGGGGAAGTTTTTCCTTCTTCTTTCCCTGGCCCGCTTTCCTAGCTAGCCTTTTAAAATTTTCTCACATGCCCCCGCCAGTTTTTGTTTTACTTTCCAAAATCAAAAGGGATTCTTAAATGGATTAATTGCTTTCTCATTTGAATAAACATTATTCCCTGCAACCAGCCATATTTTCAAGTTAAAATTTTGGCCTTTGGGGAAATTGTTCCAGGGAGCCGGGAGGGGAGCCTACAGCCGCTCAGAAAATGCAAAGGCAACCGCAAACCAGCCTCAGACGCAGCAGCTCATTTGCTAGAAGAAATTTATGAGTTTCATTTCCCAGAAGTGCTTTGGATCTATCAACAGGACTAAGGGCGTCGTCACGTCTGTTCTCAGGAGGAAAAAAAAAAATCCAGCGTGGAGAAGGTTTATTCGGAGTAGCCGAATAAAACCCTAAAATTGCAGGGACGGGATCGGGGCGAGGAAGAGAACGATTTAAAGGAAGGGCAGATGGAAGGTCTTTCTCGATTTTAGACAATTATATTGGAAATCACAGAACACTGCAACTCTATAATTATAGAAATTATAGAACACACGGAATGATAGATTATAGAATTATCTATCTGTCCATCTATCAATGGATGTATAAATCTATGGGTGGATAGAGATATATGATAATAGATAGATAGATAGATAGATAGATAGATAGATAGATAGATAGATAGATAGATAGACAGATAGACAGATAGACAGACAGACAGACAGACAGACAGACAGATAGATAGATAGATTTTAAAAATGCCAAGCAATAAAAACTATACAAACTAATTTACACAACTCCTGCACCGCGAAATAAGCCCCACAACTGAATTGTTGGGAGTTTATTAGACTCAGATAGTAATTTAAGTACAGTTCAATCCAGCGCGATCCACAAGTCCCACTGAGTTAAATAGAAATAGGACTTAAAACAAAACAAAGCGAAACAGGGAGCCGAGATCCTCCTGTTAAAATCCCATAGAATTCAACGAGAGAGGGATCTCGGATTTATTCTGATCTTGACTAAAACTTCCGCTGAGGTCCATGTAAACTGAAAAGGGCTTGGACTTCAGCAGGAGTTTGCCTGGTCGTCCGAAACAGTCCCCTCCCAAGAGAACCTGGCGATATAAGCACCCATTTTCTTTCTTTGCGACCCTCCCCCCCCCCCCCCCGCGTTCCGCCCGCCCTCAGACAACGTCGGGCTACAGTTGCCATTTCCCGTAGGGGGGAAAATGTGTATCTCTATATTGCAACCCAGTTTATCGTCACTGCGGAACACTGCTTTTAACTGGAGAGAAAGGAAACCCCTCGGAAAGTTTGGGGAAATGATTTACACGGGAGTAAATATGGGGGAATCTAAAGAAATAAAATGCTAATTGAAAGGCATCGACTTTAGCGTTCTCAGGTCAAGAAAGCCAAAAATAATTAAGCCGGGATTAGATAAACGAGGGCCTAGTTCCTCCGCGATCGAACTCTTAATAGCTTTGAAGCGCGAAAAGCCGAAAGCGGCTGGCCTTTGCCTTCTGATCAGGGCTCCTTCGCGGGGCTTCTGGTTTCCTGAAAACTGGTGAGTTAAGGTTTGCGTGCATGGAAAGAGAAAGGGCAGATTTGGAACTTGAGACCAAGAGAGGGGGAGAAAGAGGGCGTCGGGGAGAGAAGAAGCAGACGAGCTGGGAAATAAAAAGAAAAGAGAGGGAGGGAGGGAGGGGGAGAGAGAGAGAGAGAGAGAGAAAGAAAGAAAGAAAGAAAGAAAGAAAGAAAGAGGAGAGAGAGAAAGAAAAAGAAAGAAAGAAAGAAAGAAAGAAAGAAAGAAAGAAAGAAAACCGAAAGAAGAAAAAGAAAGAAAGAAAGAAAGAAAGAAAGAAAAAGAAAGAAAGAAAGAAAGAAAGAAGAAAAAACCGTGTACCACACTCCTAACCTTGTCCTAACCCTGATATTGGAAGGAAGGAGGGAAGGAAGGAAGGAAGGAAGGAAGGAAGGAAGGAAGGAAGAAGGAGAAGGAAGAAAGGAAGAGAAAGAAAGAAAGAGGAGAGAGAGAGAAAGAAAGAAAAAAGAAAGAAAAAAGAAAGAAAGAAAGAAGAAGAAAGAAAGAAAGAAAGAAAGAAAGAAAGAAAACCGTGTACCACACTCCTAACCTTGTCCTAACCCTGATATTGGAAGGAAGGAGGGAAGGAAGGAAGGAAAGAAGAGAAGAAGGAAAGAAAGGAAAGAGAAAGAAAGAAAGAGGAGAGAGAGAGGGAAAGAAAGAAAGAAAGAGAGAGAGAGAAAGAAAACCGTGTAACACACTCCTAACCTTGTCTACTCGGGAGTCAGCTTCGCCGACTTTTAAGCAAACTTCTCTTTCACCCCAGAAACAGGCGTACAAAATTAGCCTCCCAAACTCAGCCCAGCTTATTCACCGCCGTTTTTCTTAATTGGCTTTACAACGGTGGAAATAAGCAGATCGAAGTTGCTTGATTCGGGAAAGCAACCGAACGGTCGATTTGCATAAAAATCGAGTTTAGGGGTTTACAGGGGTTTATTCTCGCTCTGCTACTCTCTCTCTCTTTTTAAGGCAAAAAGGGCGTTTTTTATTTCAGCAACGGCAGGAACGGCGGGCGCTCGTCCCGAAGGCTGCTGCGGTCACCCAGGTTTTTCCGCGTTTGTGTTTGCCTGCTTGTGGCGGAGTGGGAGCCAACGGCAGGATCCCAGGCAGGAATCCCCAAGGAATCCGTGATTGACCGGCTAGGAAAAAAATGCCACTGGACCGATCAGGAATTCTTTCTGGGGGACTAAAAGAGCCCCTGGAGAAATCTCTTTAAAAAGAAGCCTCCGAAGACGCACACCCCCCCGCCAGCCCACCGTTTTCCCTTCCAGTCCGGCGCATTTGGCGAGGCCGGAGGAGCGAACCGGTAGGTACCTGGATGTCCTCGAGGCTGGGGTGAGCCAGAGCGTGGAGTCCCAGCGGCCCGTCGGCCAAGGCGTGAGCTCCGTCGGCCAAGCCGTGGAGCAAGCGCGGCATGCCCGGGTAGTCCCTGCGCGGATCCAGGCCGAGAGCTCGGTGCGTCTGCGAGAGAAGGCCCGCCGCGGCTGCCGCGGCCGCCGCTTCTTCCTGGCGCGCCCGTTGCGAGGACCAGCCGCTCTGCTGGTGCTGGTGGATGGGGTTGAGGCCGCCATAGGGGTCCCCCAGGTGCGGGTAGGCGCTCTCCTGGCTCTGCGCGTAGGGCAGCGGCGGCTGCGGGTAAGGCGGCGGGAAGTAGGGCGGCTGGAAGTCCGAGGCCGGCGTGTGGCACAGAGGGGGAGCCGAGGAGTACGCCGCCGCCTGGTTGAGGGACGAGAGTTGAGGGAGGCGGCCGCCGGCGGAGGTCCCGTTCAGCCCATCCGAGCGGTCCTGGTGGAGGGGAGGACATCAAAGGGAGGGAAAAGTCACCACGCAGCTACTCGCGCTCCAGGCGCAAAAGACGCCGGCTTTCCCTCGCTCCAAGCAGCGCCCGTCGCCAGGGCTCCCGGTGTGGCGGAGGCTCCCTGAGGCCCCGGCACGCAACACCTGAGCCTCAAGGTAAGGCGCAGCCTCCTCTGCCCAGCCGAGCCCCGCTCCTCGCCTTCTCCCCCGGGCAAGCAAGCAAGCCGAAGAACGGAGCGCGCCTTCGGGGCTCGGCTCGGGCTAAGCCTTCCTAAGGGCGAGCCTTTCGCTTCCTCCCCTGGAGCCGGAGCAGGCAAAACTGCCGCAACCGAGCAAAACAAAAGAAGGCGCCGGTTACGGTCTCGCCTTGCCTGCCTTGAAATCGCCCTTTTGGCCACCGGCGCGCTTTGGGGACCGTAGGGGACCCCGCCTGGAGTCCTCGCCCCCCTTTGCTTGTTCTGCCTTCGGTAGGGGAGAGCAGCAGAGACCCGCCGAGGCAGGAGACCCTTCCCCCTTGCCCAGACCCAGCCTAGGTTTTGCGCTTAAGAGCGGTGGAAAGAGGTCGCTGCCTTTTCGGCCAGCCTCTGTTCGTGGCAAATAATTCCGATTTATCCCGCCAGTGTCTCCTTCGTTCCTTCGGCCCCCTTTTCTCTATCCTACCCCCCCTCCCCTCCTCTGGTTTTGTGATCGGTTCTCTGCGCTCTCCTCCTTCCCAACATGGACCGTTGAACCATCAGCTAGGTTACGGTTCCCGAGCCCCGACATCTGGGACCTATTAAAAATACGAAGTCCCTCTGAATCGGAAGCTGCGAGGGCGCTTCAGTTCAGGGGCTTTTCGAAGGATCCCTCCCGGGAGAGGGGAAACGTCATTCTCCTCTTCCTCGCTTCTTTCTTACAACCGCGTCCCCGCACACCCGACCAAGGAACACCCCCCCACACACCAAATAAAATCAAATCTAACTCACCATCGCGGAATACGTGTGCACCAACATCTTGCGCGGTAGCCAAACTCCCAGTTCGTTTAGGGGAAATGCCTCCAAACAGGGGGGGCGGGGGGCGAGAGGGAACGATGCTAGCAACCCCGACGGCTACCAGAATCTGCGCCCCGTTCCACCCCCCAGGAAAAGTATCCGTTAAAAGCGAGCGGCGAGCGGCGGCGCGTCCATCGAGGGCTCTTCCAAGCGCGTAGCCAAAACCCAGCTCTGGACAGGCAGCGGCTTCTCCTTTTCAAAAAAACAAAAAAACCCGACCTTTCCCCCTTCGAAGCCTGCTTGGCTCCCAGCTCTTCCTCCCTCTGAACTCAATACAACTCCATGGACTCCAGTTATACAGGCGGGGGCGCGCGCCGAGCGCCGGGAGCGCGCCTTAAAGAGACAGAGCGCACTCCGGGAGCCGACTTCAAAGCGAAAGCGCCAGTGCGCGTGCCTTGGGGGGAGGGCAGAGGGCGGAAGAGCGCCCCCACTCCGCTGCCACGCGCGCCGGATTAGTCTTCAGGGTGCCCCCAAGGTGCGTGGCGCCTTCAGCCCCCGCGGTCCCCTCCGAAAGCAACCCAGGGAGAAAAGGACCGACGGCTCGGTCTCCCTTCCCCTCTGAGCGCCGCGCTGCCAGGCTACGCTTATTTATTTGCCAACTGATCTGGGACGCGGTGGAAAACGCGCAGGATGGATCCGAGGGAGGGAGCTGCGAACAGGAAGGCGTAGATTGCCGCCACCTTCTCTCCGGTAAACACGCCGGGCTCCCAGCCTGCATCTCTCGGACCAAGCGGGGAACGAAAGGAAGCTTCCTGACTACATGCTAAAACGGGAACTTGAAGGAACGATTTGTTGGTCGGTTTTGGCTGTAAATCACCAGCGGCGGAGAATCGCCCGCAGATTTCTTTTGATGGGGCCCGCAAAAGAAAGAAAGAAAAAGAAAGAAAGAGAGAGGGGGGAAAGAAAGAAAGAGAGAGAGAGAGAGAGAGAGAGAAAGAAAGAAAGAGAGAGAGAGAGAGAGAGAGAGAGAGAGAGAAGAAGAAGAAGAAGGAAGGAAGGAAGGAAGGAAGGAAGGAAGGAAGGAAGGAAGGAAGGAAGGAAGGAAGGAAGGAAGGAAGGAAGGAAGGAAGGAAAGAAAGAAAGAAAGAAGCCAAGGAACAAACGGCTCCTGTCTCCCCCGCATTTAGCAGCAGCTCTTTCTTCCTTGCCTATTCCCTGCTACGCACCTCCGATTCCCCCCCCCCCCCGGCCAAGCCCCCCCCCCCAAAGTCATTGCTTCACTCTGGCAGTGCGAGAACGTGGCGTTTTCGACCGGGGACAGCTCCTTTCCCGAGATCTGAAAAGTACGTCGATGATTTCTGGCTACTTTCCTTCAATTTGACAGCGCATTAATTTCCCCCCCCCCCCCCCCCCCCCCCCCCCCCCCCCCTCTTTTTCCAGTCACTCAGGCCCAGGTATGAAGGACAAAGCATTTTGCGGTCTGCGCCCGTGTCTCAGTTTCTCCGCCAAGAAAAGAAGCGCCGGGCTGAAACTGAAAAGGCTAGGAAAAAAATTGTCCCCTTTTGCCTGCAGATCCAGCTGGATTCATATCCGGGAAGCGCGTCCGCTTTGGGAACCAGCCTTCAGCAGGTAGAGCCCCCCAAGGTTCGGCTGTGGGGTTGGAAGACAACGTGGGGGGGGGAGAGAGGCGAAGGGACGGGGTTTAATCTTACTCGACACAAGAGGGACAAACCTTCCTCCACCCTCCATCCTCCTGCTTCTTCCATGGCGAAGAAAAGATCGCGGGGGGTGTTTGGGGAGGGGAGGGCACGGCTAGAGGGAAGGGAAGGGAAAGCTCGATTCTGCCCAGCTGCTCAGAGCTGCTCTGGGACAAAGCCGGTTTCCCTGCGAGAAGCTGGTGACATTGACAAGCTCCGCTTCTCACCCGGGGCTGAGGGTGGAGGGTCGCCCCGCTGCATTAGGGAGCTTGAGGCCTTTCTCAAACTCGGGCTGGGTTCACACGACCCGCCACTAACGGGTTTTAATGATGTTAATCAGCGGCCGATAGTCCTGTAGGGCACCCACAGAAATGGCAAATATAAGGATATTGTGAATAAAACAAACTTGGTTTGCGAACTAACCCAGTGTGTGGATTGGCAAGATACACTAAAGAATAGTTTTATTTCTTTATTTTTATTTAGTTTATTTAGTTTGTCAAACATGTACGAGAAAACATATACACTGCTCAAAAAAATAAAGGGAACACAAGCAGAAGACATCCGAGATCTGAATGAATGAAATAGCCTTATTAAATACTTTGTTCGTTACATACAGAAGTTTTGTGTTCCCTTTAGTTGTTTGAGCAGTGTATAAACTACTGTATGTAAAGAACAAAGTATTTTTTTTAAATTTGATTTATATGCCGCCCTTCTCCGGAGACTCAGGGCGGCTTACAATGCATTAAGCAATATCCTTCATACTTTTGTATATTTATACAAAGTCATTTTATTGCCCCCACAAACTGGGTCAAAATATGCTATTTCATTCATTCAGATCTCGGATGTCTTCTGCTTGTGTTCCCTTTATTTTTTATTTTTTTTGAGCAGTATATAAGGAGCCTTGGTGGTACAGCGGACTAAAGTGCTGTTAAGTAGCACTTAGCTACCAGCTGCCTGCAATTACTGCGAGTTCAAATCTCACCAGGCTCAAGGTTGACTCAGCCTTCCATCCTTCCGAGGTAGGTAAAATGAGGACCCGGATTGTGGGGGCAGGTATATACAAAAGTATGAAGGCTATTGCTTAACGCATTGTAAGCCGCCCTGAGTCTCCGGAGAAGGGCGACATATAAATCGAACCAATAAATAAATAAATAAATAAATAAATAAATAAATAAATAAGTAAGTAAACAAACAAACAAACAAACAAACAAACAAACATGGACATGAACACAGGGAATGAGTACGAATAAATGTGGAGAGTAGGACAGGGACGGAAGGCACCCTGGTGCGCTTATGCACGCCCCCTTACAGACCTCTTAGGAATGGGGTGAGGTCCACGGTTACTATAAACAGGCTGGGTTAGGACAACACACTAAGCCCCCTCCCCACAAAACAACCAAGGTTAAAAATATGCTGTGTTTATCACCAAGTTGCGCGAACGGGGCCTCTGGGTTTGCCTGGGGTTTTTTTCTCTTTCTTATCTCAACATTCAAGATCATCACTCCCTTCCTCCCACCGTTGAATTCAACAAGCTCGTCAACGAAATTGCGCCTGGAGGAAGTTCAAAATACCCGACGTCATTGGTGGGACTTGGGTTTCTTACCTTGACTGAAAAATTCCCCATCCGTTGAATCGTTTCTGCCCTCGGCAGCCACTAGCCGAGTAAAACCCGCAGGGATTCCTTTCCTTCCTGAATCATTTCTTTTGGAGAAAGTCCCATTTACTCATTCTTACCACCCCAGAAAAAATGCCGAGAGAGGCAATAGGCTTAACCTCCTCGCCACTTAGACTTTCAGCGGATATTTTTCTCAGTTATTGGACATTCTTCGGGACTTAAAAAGTTTCTCTCGTTCCCAACTCCCTTGCCAAAGGACGGGTTATTTAAAGAAAAGGAACCGACACAGTAGCTCTAAATTGCAATGGTGTAAGGCAGAGGTCTCCAACCTTGGCAACTTTAAGCCTGGAGGACTTCAACTCCCAGAATTCCCCAGCCAGCAAAGCAAAGCAAAGCAGGCTGGGGAATTCTGGGAGTTGAAGTCCTCCAGGCTTAAAGTTGCCAAGGTTGGAGACCTCTGGTGTAAGAGAAGGAGCGATCCGCTGTCCTGGGAACCTGCTTTCCAATGGAAATAAACTTCGTTGTCCTTTGGGTTCATAGGGTCAAGCCATCATAGTGGCGAGTGGTGGGCTTTGGTTGAGTGTCTGAGCTTTGCTATTGTGCTTTGAAATTTACAATATATGGCTTTCCCACTAAGTTAGGACAAAACACTGGGGCTTATTCAACAAACTTAAGTAAACCCCGATTTAGAGCTGTATGGGAACCCAGCTTTATGTGCTTTGAGAAATCGTTGTTAAAGGTTTTTGGGGAAGGAGAGACACCTTATCCGAGACAAAATATATAGAAAAGTCCTAGCTTCAGTTCAATTCAAACTCAATTCACTTTTCAGAACCGTAGGATTCCTGCTTATTTTAGCCATATGGTAGAGAGGGGGTGATACTCAAAGAAGATGCAATTTACACATGACTTGGTGCCAGGAAGGGCCGACGCACAAGGCACAGAATCAAACACGAGCTTCAGGCTACACATCTAAACCTAGGTTAGAAAATGGCAAAAAACTGGAGATCTGTGCCATGTGTGGTGCCCAATCACAAAATGCCTTTTGTTTCTATGGCAGTTGATAAGCAAGGGGAAGGAAGGAAGGAAGGAAGAAGGAAGGAAGAAGGAAGGAAGAAGGAAGGAAGAAGGAAGGAAGATATTGGATGGGAGGGATAGAGAGAGAAAGAAAAAGAAAGACAGAGAGAAAGGAAGGAAGGGAGGAAAGAAGGAAGGAAGGAGGGAGGGAAGGAGAGAAGGAAGGAAGGAAGAAGGAAGGAAGATATTGGATGGGAGGGATAGAGAGAAAGAAAAGAAAGAAAGAGACAGAGAGAGGGTGGAAGGAAAGAAAGAAGGAGGGAGAGAGGGAGGGAGAGAAGGAAGGAAGAAGGAAGGAAGATATTGGATGGGAGGGATAGAGAGAAAGAAAAGAAAGAAAGAGACAGAGGAAGGGAGGGAGGAAAGAAAGAAGGAGGGAGGGAGGGAGGGAAAGAAGGAAGGAAGAAGGAAAGGAGGGAGGGAGGGAGGAAGATATTGGATGGGAGGGATAGAGAGAGAAAGGGAAAGAAAGAGACAGAGAGAGGAAGGAAGGAAAGAAGGAAGGAAGGAGGGAAGGAAGGAAGGAGGGGAGGAGGGGAGGAGGAAAGGAAGGAAGGAAATGACAGGTAGGGAAGGAAGTGGGGAGAGAGAAAGGAAAGTTATCTGTCAGCAATAAAGGGAAACAGAAACAAGGAAACCCAACTCCCGAGCTGGAACGTGCTTTTTCCTTCTTTATTCTCTCTCTTGATCCACTCGGGCAGGGAATCCAAATCTGTCTAATGGGTAAAATCAGCTAGAGGGTCCGAAAGTGTTTAAGAGCTTCTGAGCACTGAGGAGAAAGGCTCCAAGATTTAATTTTAAAAGGGGCAAGATTTTGATTGGATGCTTCATTTTTTTTTAAGTGCTGGAAAACGAACTCTATAAAGACAATTCAGACAATCCTGTGTTGACAGCTGAAGGAGGAAATGCTTAAAAACCACAATTTGCATCTAAGAACGATTTTCATGCAAAACAGCCTGACTCCAGTCCTGAGGCTGCCTTGCCTTGTCGGTTGAAATCTTCAGCATATCAAGTCAACAACTTTTCAACCGCATTTGCACGTACAGACGTGTACAGAACTGTACATGTGTGTGATCTGCGGGCTAAGAGGCAGCCAGTGGTAGGTCGAGCTAACCCAAGAGGCTCCTGGATCCCCACCTGGGAGTGGGGGGATAATCTGTCTTCCTTCAGTGGTGAAGATAGAGTGATGAGGTTCACGCTGCAGGAACTGACACGCAGGCAGCGTGTAATCTAACTCCAGAATTTAATCATTTTCTGGAATTGCACAAGCCATAAAACCATAAATTAACCAGGCGAGCTGGTCTCACCCAACCCACAGAGATTTAAAACTTAAACTAGCCAAAATTAGACCTAG